AAAATTTAGCTTCCCATCTGTTTCTTTAGTGAAGAAGACATAATTGTTCCAAAATACGTGAAATGTAAATGTTTTCCTATTAATTGTAGGAGAACAATATTTCATCCATGTGGGTCCTGCAACAGTAAATATCAAGTGTAGGCTTTAAGCATCTTGTACACTCAATAGATTTTAAAGCTGTTAAGTGTATGAACAAGAAGAAAATGGAGACAGAAGGCAAAAACTGCTGAAGGGAAAATCCTACTGAAAGCTCACAAAGCATTTTCAAGCTTACAGAAATGACCTGCTCTGTTCCTGTTACACAGAAGTGTTAAAATGAGAGCAAGAGACCCCTTTCCCCAGATCATTCATCTGTTATGTCTGCGATGTATTTAGACTGAATCCTTTCCCAGATGCTGCGGATCTGTCGGTTCCAGGGGAAATTAATGGGATTTTACCATTTGCTTTGAGGAAAAGAGGACTGGACTTTCTCCTGCTGTCTTTGGCAGGAAGGAGCAAGGAGCTTTCCTGTCTGCTCTCTTTAAATATTGCGTCTTTTTAAGCTTTTTTGTCCAGATAGCCTAATTTGTGTTACTGCAATATACCATGTTGGAAAATTACAGAGGTTAATGTACAGCACTATGATACACAACCATAATGGTAGACTCTAATGTTTTTTAAATGGTAAACCAAAGGCATTTGTAATACGAGTTGTAGTGAATTGCCTGCACTTCTTGCCAGAGATTAGTTTAGCATTGCTTTTAATATTTTATTCACTGAATTTGTTTGCAAAGACTAAAAGCTTCACTCACTTTGCACACTTGTGCTTTGTTCTGTCCCTGTACGAAGCACAACAGAGCCACTCTCTTGCTGATGAATTGTATGTCAAGAAGTTCTATCAAATTACAGTTATACTGCATTGGAAAGATTTTTGTAGTAATCAGTGAAGATTACATCAAATTTATGGTGTCATAACTGAGCCAGGTAGTTAGAAATCTAACCTTTTGTAATATCACAGGTTGCATATTAATGTTTTAAATATCTAAACCACACATGAATGACGTAGGATGTTTTTACTTTAAATGCTACTGTAGAGATTTGACGGTACAGAATCCCATTAAAACGGGAGAGTGCAAGATTAAATGATCAATTTGCAATTATAATTATGCATATTGAGATTGACCATTCTTTAAAAAATTGGAAGTACAAGGTTGAGAAGGGTGCTTGAGCAATCATTCTTTGTTGAGAGCATTGATTGAAGAATAAAAAATTTGAGGGGGATTGATTTGTCAGTAACCTGTATGAAAAAGTATGGGAAGCATTTCTTTGGAACATGAAGGGGAAGTAACTCTTTCACTGCCATGGTTAGCTTTGCTTGGGGAGCCATCACAAAAAGACATGATCAAAACCAGAACAGCAAGTAACACTGAACTACTTCACCTGCTCTTGATGCTTGATAAATAAAGAGTTGATCAGCTTAGTACTGGAGAGTCAGCATGGCCTCATGAGTACTCCAGAGGATGTGGGTTTTGTTCTAGCTCTGTCAGGGGCCTGCTTTTTGACCTTGAGCAAAAATTTTTTGACTCCTCGCCTTTCTTTCTGCTATTCCTTGATTGCCTTGTCTTTGTGGAGGATGAGCTCTTCAGGGGAGAGATTTCTTTGCATTGTGTTCTGTGAACAATGAAGTCTGAGCCTCGCTAAAGCCTCTAGGGGCATCTCTAAAAGAAATTATGATTGTTAGCTTTAATCACTTTCATCAAAAGAGCTTGGTAATGGAGGGTGTCAGAGTGGAGGATTTGGAGAAATCTGTAGGGTGCCTGTTAATTAAGTCACCGTGGGTGAAAGTTGCTGATTGGGTTTACTTGGACTGGTACAGAGATGCTGATGCCTGGGAGCAGGGCAGTGCTGCTCCATGCGGGTTTTCATCCCCAAAACCGTGACGCTGACTCTGGGTGCTCACTTCTCTGCTTCTGTAGAGCCAGAAGTGAGGTGCTTGGTATGTTTTACCAAACAAGGCTTTTTCAGAAGTCTCCTACTGAACACTTCATGTTCCTCCTAGCCTAAAACTTGATGTTCTTTTTTGTGGGTCCCTCTGTTGTGAGCATTTACCACAGAAATTGGGCTGCTTTGCTTTTTGCACTGAAGACAGATCCTTGAGGGTGACCCGTCTTGATGGATTCTTCTCCTAGCCTTTGCTGTTGCCAAAATAAAGTGTTTATCATTGCTCTCCTTATTAGCAGCTTCTGGTTTGGGATGGAGGTGCAGCAGCATGCCAGTTTGCAGATTAATTACCCTTCTCATGGCATCTTGTGATGCAGAGCAATGTGCCCTTGTCCTCTTTGGGCGGAGGCATTGTTCACCGTAGCAGAGGATTTAGAAATATTTATCCACATCAACACCAGCATCAAGTTAGTAAAAATGGGCTATGTTGAAGTATCTCCATTATTCAATCAGCAGTGAACTTGGCAGGTAGAGATCCTGGGTAATAAGGGATGAACCAAAGGAGAGAGGTGATTTCCCCTCTCCTTAGCAGCCTGAGAGAGACCACTTTCCAAATTGTCCAGGCAGAGTATGACCAGGGGAGAACTGGGGAAGAAGCAGCAAATACTTTCTGAGAAGCACTGTATGTTTGAGGGCAAGCAGGTTAGTCAAGTGATGTGGAGAGCAGTAAAAGAGGATCAAAACAAAGTTCCCTTGCATAAAGGGCAGGAGCTCCACTGCTCTGAGTATTAGTAGGAGTCAGAGGTAAAGCATGCCTCTTTCTTTAGTGTGTTTATTCTCTGTTTTAGGGCTAATACTGAATCCCTGTAGTTCCTGCAGTGCACCACTGCCAGTGAGTGTTGACTGTCTAACAAGTATTTTGCAAGAGCTTTGCACTTGCAGGAATCCCTGTATGGTTCCCTTCCTATTTTAATACGAACAAGAATTCCCCAGTCTGCATTTGAAATCTGCATAGAAATATGCATGTGGCAGAGGCCAACTCAAGGTTACACATTTGGCATTTGGGAACGGAAGGCAAGAAAAATTTGCCAGTCAGTACACTCACATTATGATAAAATAAAGGTGAGCTGGGAGAAGAGCATGTGCTGAATCCCAAAATGACACAGAAGAGCCATAAACCACAGTATGTTGTGCTATCTCTAGTCCTTTATGCTTCAAGCAGAAGTAAAATGTGAGGTATCATAAATGAAACAAAGATCTTGTTTTAATTTCATTTTTAAAAGCCATTGCAAGGCAACGGAGTAACAAACATTAACTTCTTCAAACCAGGCAAATTTGTCTGCTCTGTACTGCTGCCATCAAATGAAAATTATTCTCCAAAAGCCTCTTGGAACCAGGTAAAGGTTTTGCTATAAAGCACAAGTAGAGTAGTCTAAACAAATTGCATTTTTCCTGGGAATAAAGTATATGGATGTCCTTATGAGGTGTTGCCTGGTCTACTCTACCCTACTGAAACTGTATATATTTGGTCAAAATCCAAGGCTGAAAATGGGGATCGTCTGTACATCTAGAGACTTTTTAATTTGTACAGTGAGGAATAATAACTGGCCTTACTCAGAGTTTGCCTGTAAATTTCCTACATGATCCAAAGCCTCTTTATTGCTTACAGAGGCAATTTTACTGACAGTCAAGCTGGAATAGGTCTCTTTTTTCTTCCAGAGCATACTTGCCTATTATAGAGAAATCACTCTAAAAGCAGCTTGCATGCTGGACTCTCAAGCCTTGTTTTCATTTACTTGTCTGACTTCCAAGGTTACTGAATGCAAGCAATTGCTCCTTCAGTACATAAATAAGATGAATTATGCGTTAGGGACCAATGCCGTGGCCTCGTTCTTCTCATGCTCTCAGGGGAGGATCTGCTGAGTACTGCTTAGAGCTGGGGTTCAACTTCCTTTTTCTGTCAATGAAAATTAAAGTAAGACCATTCTGGATTAGCTCAGATGTGAAACTGGAGCCTCAGGACTGTTTGTTTTGGTCTGAAATTTTTGAAGGTGTAGGGTGGTCCAGGGTGTGGAACTATGGCAGCAGAGTGAAAGCTGTGCTAGAGCCCTGGGTGGGAAAGGCTTGGGGACTTGCTGCTGTAACTGGAACAATTGGCCCTAATTTAACCCTGGATCCTTTTTTAAATGGCCTTTAAAGTTTTTTCATTTCAATACACTTCTTTCAAATAACATGACCTGTGTTCTCCCCTACAGGTTGCAAGTTTGTAGTTGATGTTGGAAGCAAAATTCAGGCAGGACTCATTGCTATTTCCCTTGCATGGGTTTTTAATTATATTGTCTAATTGTTTCACTGGGTTGGGATGGGGGTCCTGGAGTCCTGTGCCATCCAGCTTGACTCTAACAAGACTGATTCTCACTGAAGTTTCATTTGTTGCATTCCCAACTATGAGGAACAATTTTTCATGTGTAATTAATCCTACTAAAACCAATACTTTCAGGAGGCTGACCTAGATCCATCCATTTCATTGTTTTGTCAATTAATGTTATATTTAGCATCTAACACTGTAATTAGAAGAAAATACTGAAGATGTAAAGGGACAGAGAAATTTTAAGTTGTAGCTGCCATGGAAAAGGAATTACTATCCTTGCGATCATAATTTAACTTCTTTCAAATGAGATGTTTTTTATTCTGGTGCAGTGACCTCTAAAAACCTCTGATAAATTGTCTGCTTTAACAATAGTTTCTCCAGATCACATTGTGGGAAGAGATACTCACACACCTCCATGTGTGTTTGGTATCTACTTGAATCTCCAAGTTTTTTTTAATTATTGGCAGTGATATTGTCCACTGATTTTTCCTCTGTCCATTGTTTTATATGTGTTACTACTGTTTTCCCATGCAGAAATCTTCTTCATAGACATTAAAAATTCTTAGTTTTCAAAAATCAGTTCTGTTGACCAAAATCAGTTGTTCATTGCTCTGTCCTCTGGTAGATGCATAGCAGAAAGTTCATGAGTTCCTGGTATGTCCTCAGAGGCCATGTTTTTTAATTGTTTTCTTTTTCTCTTTTTTTCCAGAAATGTTGAATACAGTGCTCTGCAAAAAATAGCGTGTGTATTTCTCGCACCTGAAGAACAAGAAAAGGTAATTACTGGACCATACAGTCGAGCCTCATTTGTTTGCTGTGCTAAAATATTTAGACCTGATCATGTTGCATTAGCCTCCAGCACTGTATCTGCGTATGGGTTTTGTGTATTTTCAGTTATGCAGGCACAGTTGTTTCATGAGAATATTCCTTTATGTAAAGGGAACAGGGGAACAAAAGCAGCAGAGCATGAAAATGCTGAAGCAAATGGTAGGGAAGAGCATACTGTGAATATTTTCAATACCTATAGAAGTGAAAAGGGTAAAAGAGAGGGAAAAAACTTCAAGGCTTATATGTGCCAATGGGAAAGCTCTGCAGGCTTGGCTGTGTTTGCAAGACTGCCTGGTGGAGCCTTGCAGCCTGCTGGGTGAGTGTCAGAGGAGGCTCAGTGATCATCAGTGTTACAGCAACCTCCTCGTGTTTCAGTGACTGAGTAGCTTGTGGGGTGGTGCACCCTGCTCCAGAGGTTGTGAGTTCCTCTGCTGCCTGCAAGCCTGCCTCTTGCAATCGAGTTTCTTGATCCTCCTGGGTCATGACATTTTGGTGGTGCAACGCAGCTTGGCAGGGCTGTGGCTGAGTTGCTGGTGTTAAACAAAATGCTGTTCATCAAACTTTCATGAGACACTTTGCCAGGGGCTGCACCTTGAAAGAGTAGGCTCCAAAAAGCAGTCAGCAGAGCTGTTCTGCTCTGTACTGCTGCCATCTCCTGTATTTTCTTCTACCTTCTTTCCAAGGCTGAGAGGTGAGCACCCCTACAGGGCCTCGAGTGGTTTTGCAGTCTTTCCTCCTTGGAGGAAAAGTTGGACAAGGCAGGCATGGCCACGTTGAAGAGTGGTGGTCCTGGTTCAGCTGGTACATCCCTTGAGCTGTACTGTGATCCAGAAGCGGGACCAAGAACTCACCTCTGCCTTAAAGTCTGTGTTGGGCATGATTCTTACTGATTCTTACTGGGCTTAAGCTGAGGAATTTACACGAGCTGAGCCTTTCAGTAAGTTTTTGTTGTAATTAATATAATGACTTTAAAGTAAGAAAATGTGTCGGTAGATACCAGTATGAACAACAAAATAAATATATAATGTGAAGGTCTAAATATGAGTATAACAAAGCAAGCCTAGTGAGTCTTAAAAACATGGATATGAAGAGAGGGACACAGCAGATGTTGCTGGGGTCAGGGAACTTTCTGTATGAACATGTGACATGTTTTTACCAGACACTTAATTTCATTGCTTGGGTTTGAAAAATGCATGTGAGTGACATCTTGCGTTCACTACATTTGCAGTGCCACACTGCTGATAATTACCACGTGCATTTTAGTATGAAGCCAAGATGACAAGCACAGACAAATCATAAGGTGGAACAATTCTGCTTTCTCCACGTATCAGCATTACCATTTTCTGAAAGTCCATCTTTGCACCCTAAAAATGGAAGTGTTGTCTCAAGAAGGATGTTGAAAAACACTTCAAGGGCCTAAATTTGCAATTTGTGTGGAATCTTATGTGCTTTTCTTGTGGTGGTCTCTGCATGCATCAATTGAATGCAAAATTATGAGAGTGGAGGTAAAAGAGCAGACAGAAGAAGAAGCTCTTGGAGCAAATAAATGCTTGGTCAAAGTGCATTAAACTTTTGCTAACAAATGGGATTCATTTTGTTGGATACTTCCATTTGGATTTATGGTGTCATTTAAAACTCTGTAATGCTTTCTATCACCATCACCAGATCATTTCTCTCCTGTGAGACTGTCCTGTTTGGGTACTTGACATTTATGGGAAATGGAGGATAACTTTCCTGGGAGTCAGACAGTTCAATGCTCTTGAGTATAAGTCTGTTTATCCATGTCAGAAAGAAAGGTTGAAAAATCAGTTTTCTTTAAAATAATGAGTTTTCCAAGGGGAATAATGGAAAAGTGGTGCAGATTACAGTATGCCATGATGTACTGGCAAAGAGGAAGACTGTGCCATACTGTTGAGTCTCACTGGTATTTCACTGCTCTTTTATACAAAGGTGAAATATTAGTCTAAGTTAACCGTACAATTTAAAATTATCTCTACAAATTCAGTCATTTATGCTTATTTATGCTTTTGGGACAGTTGTAAAGGGATTTTTGAAAAAAGCAGTATTTCTTTTTGCAAGTAAGAGATTAAAAACATGCCCACATTGATCATGGCTATGTGATTTCTGAGGCCTTAAAACACAACTACCTGCACTGTTGAAATGTGGCTCAAACATGGGAATTATTCCCACTGGGTTTCATGAAAGCTGTAGGTGTTGTTTTAAAGTTTCACATAAGCAAAGTAGGTAAGGGTATATATGCAGCAAAAAAATGGCCCCTCACATTGTTACATTTGATCTTTTGTGAGGTCAGGTAGTCACACAATTTTTTTTCATCCCTTGAATGAGAGATCCCACAGAGTCATTTAGTTCTGTCAGCTGTGTGAGCAGAACAGCCATGTGCTCTTTTATTCCTCCAGACTGCAGTGGTGTCTTTTTATTTGGTGCTGCATGGCACTTGGTTGCAATGGCTGGGCTAGGCATGTAGCAGATATATTTCATTGCAGAAGACACAGTGGCTGTCCTCTGCATGAGCCAGCCCTTAGGAAAGGCTTTGCCCCATCTTACGGAGGCAGTGACCTTGATGAGGATGTTTGCCCCTGTGCGGTGGGGGCTTTTTGCAGATGGAGTGGCTTTAATGCTGTGCTGCTGTTAGCATCAGTGAGTGGGTACAAAGCTGCAGAAATTGAGACTGTGCTCTTACGTTCTGCATGGCCAGACCAAAGGAAGAAATCCCAAGGCTCAAGGGCATGAGAAGTGCTCTCTTCTTTTGTTCTCTGTCTTTTTTTTTTTTTTTTTTTTAACTGGCTGGCCATGACATTAAGATTTCTAATTAATTTAGAAACCACAGGCAGTTGAAGAGAGTGAGCAATGTAATAACTGGGCCATGGGGCAGAGTAAAAGCACATCAATTATTCAGGCAGTCGTTGCTGTTTATTCCCTTCCCAAAGCTGGGCTGGCTGTCAGCGTGTGTCAGTGATGCTGCTAATGCCCTTCAGAATTTACATGCATAAATAGTGGCCTTTTAAAATCTGCATGAGGATAACTTTGCTATTTTCAACAATAGCTTCCAGCAGCATGCTCTGTCTGGGCGCCAGGGTCTCCAACCACTATTTTGGGTGCCTTGTTCAAAACTGGGATCTTGGCAGGTGCATCTCCTAGGCTTCTAGGAGAAGGCCTCCTAGGCAGGCTTCTGCCTCTGCTGTGGAGAAGTTGCTCCTCAAAGAAGTTGAGGGGCAGCCTGAGCCACACAAAGAAAGAAACAGTCATGCTTTGAAATGCAGGTGGTGTCTGAGAACTTCTCTGTGGGCAAGTGAGTCCAGCATCTCTTACACATCATTATCCCCTGCTTTTGTTACTGTGATGTCTCCAAAGCACTCTCCATGAAGATGCCTTGGATGCCTCTGGGGCTGGACCCAGTGCACTTCCTCTACAGGTGGAGGAGCAGGAAGCATCCTTCTCCTCCTCACTGGTCTGGCTGTTGCAGGTCCTGCACTTTGACTGAGCAGTTGAAAAGTTGAAATAGACAAAGCTTCTCTCGCTGCCAAGAACTACATTCACAGGACTGGCCGTGATTGTCTTAAATGGGTGCACCTCCAAGTCTCCTGTTTGGGATGCCACAGGGAGCAACACTGATTCCTGCATTGAACCAGTAAGGGGAGTGAAAACCAGGGGACCCATTGGATTTTTCTGCCATGGACTACAAGTGGATGACAAAGCTTTATTTTTCTGTCTGGTCGCCGTGGTTATCCCTGCTGCTGGAGGCAACCACCTTGCTTTTTAAAAAGTGAACTAATTTGTGAAGGCAATGAAATAAAATAAGCCTTGCTAATTATGTGTTGTGCCGGTGAAATGACCAGCTTGGGTTTGGAAAACACTGGCTGTAATTAATGGTGAAAGGCTTTTTCTCTCAACTGTGTAGCCATTATGAATCACTTCTCTCCATGGAAACTTTTACATCTGTCTCACTGGGGAGCCTGAGGAGGAACAGGTAAAATGAATTTGCATTAAGAGCTGCAGTTGTAACTTAAACACTTGAAATGATATTAAGCATCTCTCTCCATTAGCATTTCATGTTGATTCTGATGATATACCAGCTGAAGCTATGACAAAATCAACGTTCATTAGATGGAAGAAACTAAGCTCTGTAGACAAATGCTTTGGCTAAATGGGGCCTTCATTGTGCTGAGAACAAGAAAGCAATTAGCTGAAATGTTTGTTTACAAAATCTAATTCCTGGGGAGTATCTTCTCAGATTGCCGCTTACATCTCTTGGGCTGGTTTTGTTACCAAGGCTTGCAGGTTGATGGATTTTGCAAGTGAAGAGCAGGGGCTAAGCTGCAGGTGTGCCAGAGTTTATTTGTGAATTCCTCACATTTATTTTACAGTTTGCTGTTAAGTGCAATTAATAATAATATTAGATATTCCAGATATTAAACAGTGTAGGCTGAAGAGAAGCTGGAAACTGTGCAGCACTGAGTGCTGTTACTGCTGTCCTCCTGTCCCCCACCTGGAGCCTAGCCCAGAGGAATCACCGATGGGTTCCAGCTGGGTGAGAATGCATCTCTGCCAGGATAAATGCATGGGGAACCTTGTCCCAGTTGGTTGACAAACATGAACACCCTCAGAAGGTGATTTTGCCCATCTGAAATGCAAATTGTGCTCTGGAAATGCTGCTTCTCTTTGGGTTACAGAAATGGCCAATGGGAAACATAAATGCTGCCATCCAGTTATTGGAGCAGATTTTGTCACTGCTTAGCATCTGTGGAGTGGGAAGGATCAGGCATTTTGGGCCTGTGCTGATACCAACAGAACAATTTCATACTAATTGTAAGCGTGCAATAGAACATTGCACTGCATGCTTGGATATGATGTGGCAGTATTTATTAGCTTTTTCCTTTTTTTTTCTGGCTATGTGGTGGCTTTGCTTTCAGTGCAGTTTTTTCTAGTG